CCAGCAAGACGTGGCGGGCGAGAATTAGAGGGTGCCTTGGGCCGGCCTGACACGGAGCGAGGGACTTTAAGGAGCACACGGCCCTCCGCGAGGACCCCGCCGTGACACAGTCCTCAAGTCGTTAACAGCTGAACTACCTATGTTGTAAATGTCTAAGTTCAGCCCCTAGTGGCACTGCAACCAAACCCCAGAAGTTATTGAACTTCAGGTTCAAAGGGTGAGCCTGTTCCTTGTTCTGCTCATCCTTGTTACTCATCCCAATAGGGCAGGCTGTTAAGACAGGAGGCAAGATTCTATTCCATCTCTTAGGCACCTAAGTGGGCTGAGGTGTCTATGCACAATTGTATTCTACCCTGTTCAAGTCAAGTTTTGTAACACACCAGATCCCTAAGCAAGAAGCAGGAGAAGGAAGAAGAGGACCAGCCCATCTTTTGCATTAACTGTTTTTCAAAGACTCAAGAATTGTGGAATAAAATCTCAGACACCTAGGCCCACTGATGTGCGTACTGTGTGGATAGAATCTGACCCAAGAAGACTGCTATTATTAATCTTACAACCTCTTGTTCCTCACTTATGGACCTTCTGGAATATGTTCCCTGTCTCTGCAGAGAGACAAATAATAAACAGACTGATTTCTGAAAGGTCTCTTCTGGAATAGGAAGTATCATGTGGATGGCTATTTGCTTGGGTTATTATGTAAAGAAGTAGATGAGGAAATAATTTTGAAATAACACACAAATAACTTGCAGAATATGAGAGAGATGAAAAATACAAGTTCAAAATTAACCTTTTCCCATTCACCAAGCTTCAGGCTTTTGTTTTTTTGGGTTTTTTTAAAATTTACATACACCATGATGCCAATAGGTGACACAGCAAAACAAACTTAAGTAATTAAATTATAAACAAATTTATAATCTATACATTAACAGTTTGGGAATTTAAAATGGCCTATAAATTTCCTTAGACTGCAGTTTCCTCAGTCTGTATATGGTCTAATACATTTTAATGCCAATTTACAGAATACTGATTTATAGATTATCAATCTATAGCATATGCAGTGAACCTGGATGTTTTTTATTAACCCTACCTGAATGCATATACATACATAGCTGGGTTGAGGAACATGCCTCAAACACATTAGTTAAGATTATAACCATGAAGAAGAACTTCTCAGCATCAACGACAAGCTGTTTAGCCAAGTTAGAGAAGAGAGAGACAGAACAGGCAAGTTGTCAGCTATTGCAATTTAATGCAGATGTATGGAGCCAAGAGCCACAGCAAGCTGTAACTTGGCCCTCAATAGAATGGGGGGAAGAAAGTCTGAGTCATGTCTACATAGGGGCTGGAAAGGCAGTACTACATGTAGGTAAGATCATGTCCAAGTGGTCTCTTTTATTTCAAACCCATTTTTCTTAGTGCCCATTTCCCATTTAGATAAATAAATACTTTTCTGAAAAAGCTGCTTCTATGCCATTGGTACTGTATACTGGTCCAAAGCATCCCAACAGTATCCTTTTGCAGGTGCTAATATTGTTCCACCTGCCAGGTAACATGATTGGCTACCCAGAAACCTAATGAAAATGGATGGACTCTGTTTCAAAGACCAAGGGAGTCATAGGCCTGCCATAAGTGCCCTGAAGGTATAATGAGGTTTATAATTTTTCTTTACTTAATTCATAGATTGTAAAACCAGAAAGGACCTTGAAAATCATTGGGTCCAGCCCCCTACACCAAGCAGGAAAGATAGCTGGGGGTCAGGTGACCCAAGCAAGGTGACTGTCTAGTCTCCTCTTGAAGTTTCCAGGGTAGATGATTGTACCACTTCTGGAAGGGGCCTATTCCACAGTCTGACACCCTGACTGTGAACAAGTTATTTGTAATGTTGAGCCTGAATTGATCTTCCAGGAGCTTGTGGCCATTACTCCTGATTTTTCCCTCAGGTGTTTACTGAGCCATCGATGTACTGCCCTATTGTAGTGGTAAGCTGCTACAAGGTCCCCTCTCAGTCTTCTTTTCCTCAGGCTGAAGAGTCCCAGATCCCTCAGCCTCTCCTTGTATGGCTTGCCTTTTAAGACTGATCATATGGGTGGCTCTTCTTTGGACTCTCTCAAGCTTGTCCATGTCCTTGTTAAAGTGTGGTGCCCAGAACTGGACACAGTACTCTAGCTGCAGTCACACCAGTGCTGAGTACAGCAGAAGAACCACCTCCTTGTTTTTGCTGGAGATGCTTTGATTGATGCATGCCAGAGTTTTGTTTGCCCCGCTGGCTACTGCATCACACTGCTGGCTTATATTTATACTGTGGTCTATTATTACTCCCAGGTCCCTCTCATTCATGGTGCTAGTCAGTTCAGTGCTGCCAAGCCTGTAGGTGTGTTGGTAGTTGCTTGTCCCGAGGTGGAGCACTTTACATTTCTCAACATTGAACTTCAGCAGATTCCAATCTGCCCAACTTGCTAGCCTGTATAGGTCTGCTTGTATCTGTAGCCTATCTTCAGGCATGACTACGCTTCCCTATAACTTGGTGCTGTCCGCGAACTTGGCCAGTGAGCTCTTCACCCTCACATCTAAATCATTAATAAAGATGTTGAAAACAATACCAAAGCACCCTGCAATAGTGGTGCTCAGTCTCTGGTCTGTGGGCTAGATCCAGTGCATGGAACCATATCATCTGGTCGTTGGGGCTCCCTACAGCTATGGAGCCACTGCCCTCCTGCCA